GGCCACCACGTGGCCGGCCGGGTGGAACGCGAGCCCGGTCACCGGCCCGTGGTGCGGCGCGTCGGCGCGCGTGTTGAGGGCGTACGGCGCCGCCGCGCCGGCCTGCTGCGAAGCGGCGGAGGCGGCGTCCCAGAACTTGAGGCTCTGGCTGCAGTCGGCGGCCGCTCCTATTGGTGGCCATGACGAGGTTCAGGGTGGCGGCGAGTGAGTCATACAGTGAGTCATGGGGGCTCCTGGGGGATAAGGCAACAGCTGCCGACCTAACCTGGACTCGCCATGTGATGCAATGGGACGGCAAGCCAGGGCGCCGCCGGCGCAGGCCAGGAAAGGCTAGTGCCCGCGCTGCCTGCTGGCTGACTGCTGGGCGGCGCTGCCCTGGACGCCCGGACTTCCCATGCCAAAGCGCACACTCGCCCTAAGAGATGGCCGCGACCGGCTAATCACGCTGCCTCACTGCAGCCCGCCGCATCTCACGCAGACGCACGCGCGCGTTCACCTGTGCCAGGCGCAACGTCCAGCGTCACCAGGGTGTCACCCGACGCGCTGAACGCGGCCGCCACGACCTGTGGCTCCACCGGCGCGCCGCCGGCGCCGCCGCCGGCCCCCACCAGCGCCGCGGCGTCGCGGGTGAGGGACACCGGGTTGCGGGCTGCGACCTGCGGCCGCGTTTTGGGGCGGGGGACGGGAGGAGAGGTCAGGAGGTGGGGTGGCGTGGGCGCGTCGCGATTGTGAGCTGTGAGGGCGGAGGTCCGACGGCCATGATGGCTGCAGGCCGGGTCGATCGCTGACGGCCACTCGCTGGCTGCGCGCGAAACCCCGGTGTGATGTTGCCGCGGCTCTACAAGATACAACAGCCGGCCCAACCTCGGTCAAACAGCCGCGAGCGATCTCAGCCCCAGGCCAAAACCTCAGGCTTTGACCATACCCGTTCAGTTGAGGGCCCAACCAAATCGACCTCGTGCACCGCATCGCCGACCAAACACCCAACCCCCAGCACCCGCCCCACCTGCAGCCGCGACGCGTGCCGCTCCCGCGCGGCATCGAAGAACTGCAGCAGCGCGTTGGGGCCCGACACCACCAGGTGCCCCGTCCCCGGCTGCAGCGCCGCGCAGCCGCCGGGCGCGCGGCCGGGCGGCGGCCGCGGCGCGGGGCGGAGGCCGTGGACGGTCGCCTCTACGCGCATGGCTGCGGCGTTGATGACGCGCACCGTGTTGTCGGCCTGGGGGTTGCGCATGGGAGAGGGGCGGAGGGGCTAAGGGGGCAGAGGGGTGGGCGAATGGGGGAGGAAAAGAGCGTGCACGCGCTAGATGGAGGTTGCATTGGGAGGACGGGCCTAGTGTCAACGGTCATCAGGAGAAAACGGGGCCGTGCAAGGGAGCGCTGCACGGCAGGGGCAGCCTTGGAGCCGTGAAGCTGACGCCCACAGGGCCGCCGCCGCCGCAGCCCGCCCATACCCAATTCGCCCAAAGGTGCGGCCGGCCTGCAGCGCGCCACCCCACTCCTTTGACACCGTCTGCAGGAGAGCCTGAGCAGTCGCTTCGGAAATTCACGACCGCGCTGTGCTACCCTTCCGAGCTGTAAGACAGCCGTGCTGCGCATACGATCTTCAGCAGCGTCCCACACACACACCCAACCACACACACCTAAACCCTAAACCCTATAACCTGAACCCTTACCCTAAACCCAGCAATCTTCACAAGCATCCCGCGCACACACCTGCGCGACGCAGTACTTGCGGGGGTCTGCGGGGCAGGGCAAGATGCCGACCAGCGCGCCCCCCAGCCGCGGCAGGAAGCTGCGCTTGTTGGTGGCCAGCTGCCATTGCACCTGCAAAGGGAGGGGCGCGGCGGCGTGCCGGGGCGGGGCTTTGGGGCACGCCGCGGCGCAGCCGTCCACCTGCACACGTGCTGACAAGCGCAAACCAGCCATGGCGTGCAGGTTTGTTTTACTGGGCCTCTGGGGCTGGCTTGCACTGGCAGCCTCACGGCGTTCGCAAGAGGCAGCGCGACGCAGCGCCACGACTCATCGACATAATCTCATGACCAAGATTATCTCACCAGCGCGCCCTCCATCCCTCCAGACAGCAGGTGCGCGCCGTCCGGGCTGAACGCCAGGCACCCCACCGCCTGCGCGTGCCAGTGCACCGTCGTGCACGCGGGCGCGGCGCCGCCGCCGGCGCTGTTGCTGGACGCGCCGCCGGCCGGCAGCGCCTTCTGGAACCCGTGCCAGATCACTATGCGTCCGCTGACGTCACCGGCCGCCAGGATGGTGTCGCTCGCGTCGATGGCGCAGCACTGCGGAGGGGGTGCAGCACCGGGTCGATGCAAGGGGGATGCACGAGAGGCAGTGAGGCGCTCGCATCGCGCGCTGCCGCCAAGGGTGCAGGCGGCAGGCTCGCCGAGCGCGGCCACCCCGACAGCCGCCGGTGCTCGTCCCTCCGTTTCGCAGCTGCATGCAGCTGTCCTGTGGCTTGGCGTTGAGCTTGGAGCCACGCATGGCGCCAAAACTGCTCAACAATGTCAGGCCATCCTGGCATGCACACCACACCTCACAGCTCCAGCCGCCGCCTAGGCCCCGCTGCGGCGCTCGACACCCACCGTGTACGCCCGCACGTGGTGGAAGTTGGCCGGCCGCCGCCCGCCGTCCTCGCCTGCGGCCCACACCCACAGGGAGAATTTGTCCGGCGCCGCGAGGAAGCGCCCCGAGGGGCTCGCGACCATCTGCCGCAGCGGCCCGCGCGGGCGGACGCCGCTGCTGAGCGGGACGCCGGACGGAAGCTGGAAGCCGAGAAGCTTCCCGGCGCCGAGGCGGTGGACAAGCGAGAGGTATGCCATGTTTGAGGCGCGGCTGAGGACCTGCGGTGAAAAAGGGGGGGCAGGCGGTTCGTTGCATGACGTTACTAGAAGCATCAAGGGGTAAAACAGGGGGGTTGGGCGCGCGGACTCCAGCAAAGATTGGGGATGGGTTAAGCGCAGGTGCAGAATAGGGTCCCATGAGAGGAGGCATGTGCGAGGGGTCCCGCTTCCAAGGGACGCCGCCGCCGCCGCTGCCAGGCAAAGCGGTGGTAGCTGCATGCTGATGGCATCATCCGCCCGACGCACCATGTGCTCAACCGGCTGCCCCACTGCGTGCGTGCGTAAGCAGTCGCCGCTGGCCAGATCCCACAGCCGCAGGGTGCCGTCCTGACATGATGAGTAGACCTGGGGGGCAGGGGGCGGCCCCGTAGTCATCGCGGGTGAGGGCGGAGGAGGGTCGGGGAGTCGACAAACGTGGTGGAAATAGACAGCGGAGCTGTTGTGCGAGGCGCAAGAGCGCAGCCGGGAGTACACGCTATCGATACTCAGCAGCAAGCACCTTGTCGGGCACGCGGATTGGCGGCGGCGCGGCGGCAGTGGCGGCCGCCGCCGCCGGGCGCACCTGGCCATCACTGCTGGGGTCCAGGGCCACCGCGGTCACGGCGGCTGTGTGTCCAACGAGCGTTCCGACATGCTCGCCGCTAACAGCGCTGTAGACGCGAACGTCGTTGCCGCACGGAGCGAAAAATAGCTTGCCGTCCACCGACAGGCACAGGGCCCGCCTAGTGATCACGCCGCCTTTAAGTGCCATGATGCCTTTGATATCTGCGCTGGTAGTCCCGCTCAGATCGCCACAGCTAGGCCAAGGTGCGGCGACTGCGGCATGACCGAGCCCTTGATGCGAACAATGGACTGCAGTGGATGTCAAGATGACATGCGCTATTCGCCTGCCATCCGCCACGGTGCTTGCCGATGGTACCGGACGGCGCTGGTGACGCAGCCGGGTGAGTGCGCATAGCTCGCAAGCAGTCAACAGCAGGCGGCAACACTGAAGCCTGGCGGCAAGCGTGTGTGCTGTACGACACCACATCAAGAGCGATTCAAAGTTTTATGTCACTTTTTTGTCTCCACAGGAGGGGCAGAGCCCCAGTGCGGGCTGCTCTGGGGCGAGGCACACACACCATTACGTCACAGCGCTTTGCACGCTGCGTTCCTGAGCAGGAGTATTGCACAGTGACGCTCATAGCTTTGCAGCGACGAGACAATTTCGCCTATACAACCATCTTCAAAGCCAATATAACAACAAGAGCTGATGGGTCTCGAGATCTTCGCGCGCTTGTTTTGATCTCTAGGGCAGCGTCGAGCATGGGAGCATGGGCATGTGAAGCGTGCACGTTCCTACACGGCGGAGATGATGGCAACGATGCTTCCGAGGCATGCAGCCTTTGCGGGGCGCCTCGAGCCCGGTCACCCAAGCGACAGCGTCGGGGTGCAGCAGATGGCGCTGCGGCGCACAAGGGCCCGCCCGGTTTCAGCATGGAGGGGGATGTCGTTGTGCTTGACTCATCTGACGAGGGCGACGGCGATGGCGATGGCGAGGGCGGCGGTGGCGCCTCGACAGCGGCCTCTGCACCCGCTGAGCTCGGCCCCCCATCCTCCCGCCCTGGGGCACTTGGAGGCCCCACCGACGTCGCCGGCGCCTCGGCCCCCATGCCGCCAGCGCGCCAGCAACGCGCAGACGGCGCAGACGGCGCGAAAGACGCGGCGGCGAGCGGCGAGCTGTACGTGATGGATGCGTGCGGCTGCCGCGCTCCGCGCGCGGCGTTGGCCGCCGCTCTTGTTGAAGCGGCACGCCGCCACGTGGAACCGCTTGGTGGGGCCGCAAGCCCCACTACCCGCGCCGCAGCCGGCAGTGGCGGCGCCGCGCCGCCGGCGGCCCCCGCCGCAGCGGAGGGCGTGGCCGCCCGCGGCGGCGCGACGCTCTGCGCCGCGCTGCGCGCTCTGGCGTGCTGCGCGTGCTGTGTGCCGGCCAGCAACCAGGACCTGCTGCGCCTGCTGGGCGGCGAGGGCTTGGGGCGCGTCTACGCTGCACTCGCCACGCGCATCGCGCAGCTAGCCGGCCCTCCAGAGAGGGCCGACGCGGCGGCGCCTGCGCCAGGGGCGCCCAGCAGCGGCGCCGGCGGCGGGGTGCCGCCAGCGTGCGGGGCGTGCGGGGGGATCAGCATGCTGCCTGCCGCGGCGCTGCGGCCGGGGGCGGCGCACCCGGCGCGGCGGATCGTCAAGCGTGCGTACGACGCGCGCAGCGGCACCGGCGGCAGCGGCGGGGCGGGCGCGGCTCCGCTGCCGGCGGCGGGGCAGGAGGCCGCGGCGGCACTGCTGCAGGAGTTGGGGCCGACCTGCCTTTGGTACTGCCCAGGCTGCCCCGCAGCCGTCGACCCAGCAGCAGAGGCGCGCGCGGCCGCCGAGGCCGCGGCGGCGGCCGAGGCGGCGGCCTCCGGCGACGGCGCAGGCGGGGCAGCTGCAAAGTCGGCGAGCGCGGCGGCGGTGGAGGCGTGGCAGCTGTGCTGCCGCCTGCAAGAGGCGCTCTTGGGACATAAGGAGGGCGGGACTGGTGGCGACGGCGCAGCAGCACCCGCGGGCAACGGCAGCGGCGGCGGCGGCGGCGGCGGCAGCGGCAGTGCGCCCGCTCCTGGCAGGGGCCGCGGCGGGCGCGGCTACAGGGGCCGCGGCTGGGGCCGCGGGGGCCGGAGCCCCGTGGCCTGGGCCAAGGGTGTCGGGTACGGCGGGGATCAAGGGCACGTGGGGTTGGCAGCGGCAGACCTACAGGCGGCGGAGCGGCGCCAGCGCTCAGAGGACGCGGCGTCGCGCGCCGCCCTGTCGGCCCTCTGCGCATTCGTGTCCGGCGCCACCGCCGGCGGCGCCGCCGGCGTCGGCGCGCCTGCCGGCGCGGCGGCCGCGCTCGTCTGCGGGCCGCTGCGCTATTGCCTGCGGCGGCTGTTCTCAAACGACTCCATCCACGACATTACGAGCAGGCGGGAGCTGTACTCTGAAGCGATGAGCCTGTGCCGCCTCCTGGGGTCCAGCGCCGACCTACTGCCCATTCTGCAGCTGCCCGCGGCAGACCCCGGCGACGCCGACACCGACGAAAACGAGGGCGGTTGCGGCGGCGAGGGCGGCGCGGGCGGCGTCACGGCGGGGCGGAGCGTGCTGGCGGCGCTGCGGCGGCTGGACACGCAGTGCGGCGTCGTGAAGCGCAGCGCGCAGGAGCTTGGAGAGGGGGACGACGCTGACGTGGCGGCGCTGTCGGTCGCCCTGGAGCTGTCGGAGCTGTTTTCAAACCTGTCAGAGGCGGACGCCCTGCTGAGTCAGCGGGGCCGGCGGGGCCGGGGCGCGCCGGACAGGCT